CGGTCTTGTTTCTCCGCGCACGCAGCATTCCGAATTCGGTAAACTGGCATTTACGCGGCTGCGTGGATCGATGTTATCGCCGCGTGGAAATCCGTTTTTCCACCGTTGTTACCGTTATTGCCCGTTTTCAACGTGCCGAACACGACCCTTCGACGCGGCCGTGAGCGCCGTTTCGAGGCACGTAACAGCGCGAACGAACGCGGACAGGTCTTTCCGCGGGGCTTTGACATAACTCTGTCGACGATACCGTATCGAATAATGGATATCCGAGATATCGGAGCGAACACGGGAGCAGCTCGCGAAATACCAAGTAAAAGTGGAAGTAAGAATTTCCATGTAAACGGGCCGCGCTCGGCGGCGTTATTCTACGGACACATATTCTCACGTCGAATGTGCGGCCAGGAATGGCGCAAGTCACGTTTCCAACAAATCAATTCGTCGGTCGCCGGCGGTGCCGCAGTCCCACGATACCATACGATACCGCACGATGTGCCAGAAACCTTCAACGGGATAATCGACGCGGTCCTCGGCCGGGACACAACGGCGGAAAACGAGTTGCGAACGGATCGATTCGCATCCGACGAAATATTATTACTCGTTGAAAAGCAGGCCGTGTCCTTTTCGAATGATTTCCTGGAGGTTTCGCAAGGCGTTGCAGCCACGCAGCCTCGCCAGGGGGTCGCTGATACCGGTGTGTACCTTGAGCTGCTTCTCCAGCTGCTGAGCTGGCAACGAAACCGTGTAAACCGTGTTCTTATGATTGCTAATTACCATTACAAAACAGTCGTTTTCTTCTGCTCGCGAGCGCGTCTTCGCACACGCGATCTCTTTCACTGCGTCATCCTGGATTTAGTACTTTCATGTTACAGCATTACTTTGTGCATATTGTACTTATGCATAATTGTGCTTGTGAATTGTATACTGTACTTATGGATTATATGAGTCGTTTATTTTGAAAGTGGCATAAGTCGCTTTGTTTTTAAGTCGATATATTTAAGGGTTTGCGTTTCAACACGTTTCAAAATATGGATGCTAACTTTCGAGAAGATTTACTTGTATTTGTTATCTCACCACTTTTCATCGCNGGGATAATCGACGCGGTCCTCGGCCGGGACACAACGGCGGAAAACGAGTTGCGAACGGATCGATTCGCATCCGACGAAATATTATTACTCGTTGAAAAGCAGGCCGTGTCCTTTTCGAATGATTTCCTGGAGGTTTCGCAAGGCGTTGCAGCCACGCAGCCTCGCCAGGGGGTCGCTGATACCGGTGTGTACCTTGAGCTGCTTCTCCAGCTGCTGAGCTGGCAACGAAACCGTGTAAACCGTGTTCTTATGATTGCTAATTACCATTACAAAACAGTCGTTTTCTTCTGCTCGCGAGCGCGTCTTCGCACACGCGATCTCTTTCACTGCGTCATCCTGGATTTAGTACTTTCATGTTACAGCATTACTTTGTGCATATTGTACTTATGCATAATTGTGCTTGTGAATTGTATACTGTACTTATGGATTATATGAGTCGTTTATTTTGAAAGTGGCATAAGTCGCTTTGTTTTTAAGTCGATATATTTAAGGGTTTGCGTTTCAACACGTTTCAAAATATGGATGCTAACTTTCGAGAAGATTTACTTGTATTTGTTATCTCACCACTTTTCATCGCGGTAAAGTGACTTATGCCACTTTCAAAATAAACGGCTCATATATTGCGTAAATATATTATAATAATATTATAATATAATATAAATAATAATATAATATAAATAATAATATAATATAAATATATTATAATATATTATGCGTAAATTGAAAATGATCGATATCGTGTTCGCGTGACGATATCTAATTGCATGACCCTCGATCGTTGAATTATTCCCACTAAATGTACCTACCTGGAGAATGCGTGATTTCTCCCTGCTGCGTGCTGAAACACACCGGGAAAACAATGGATATTTCGATTGCATCGATCGTAGGATTAATAATGTCAACCTTATGCACACGAATACATTGACATTTTTGGCCAGTCAGATATGCGTGTTTGAAGCAAAGTCGGGCAACATTTTATTCGTCCGATTCAAATCGGATTAAAATCTTGTTCGAATAAGAATTTATTCGTACAGAAATCCATACGGAAAATAATTGAGTTGAATAAAAATCATAAAACATAATGTGTGTGTGTGTTTTTTTTTTATAGTTCATCGATATATTTCGTCCATATTATTGTTTCGAATTGTTCGAATAAAGAATTTTCGGACAAAGAATTATTCGAATAAAGAATTTTCGAACAAAGAATTATTCGAATAAAGAATTTTAGGACTAAGAATTATTCGAATAGAATAATATAAGAACAGAATGGAATAATTTATGACGAATAATGAATTATTCGATTGAAATGTTCGGCTAAAATGAATTCATTCGGATAATTATCTTAGATAAATATTTATTCGAAAGAATCCGAGAATAATACCCAACTGTAGTTTAAAGCAACAATTGCGAAAATTGTGCAGCAGCTGAGCCTCAGCTAATCAATGTCCTTTTATTTATGTATCATTACGTCTTGTATAACAAAGGGCTAATCGCGTATATAAATTTATTTAATATTTGATAATCCATCTGCACGAATCAAAGATTCACTAATATATAAATTTTTATCATTATATAAATACTGAAACCTGTTTGTATTCCCATCGATTTCTCACCAATCAGAAGACACTTTCCATTGGCCGGCTGAACAAATAAGAAATATTGCCGGTTAACGAGTACGCACGGTGGATTACGAAAAATTCGGCGCCGAGCTCCCGCCGAGGATGATAAGAGCGTCTCGGCGCCGTCCAGGCGGTTTCGCGAGCATTCGCAAGCATTCGCGAACGCTGGTGTCCGAGTTTCTCGGGTACGCACCGGCGCAAGGTCGACCAAAAATCCGGTTACTTATTCTCGGTTGCGCAATCCACCGCTTCGTACACCGCTCACGTTTCATTGCGGCCGTTTCGTGCACCGATACACCGGCCGCGGCCGCGGCCGCACGAAACATTGCCGCTAATAACTCGCCTAACGTCCACTTAACCCCTCGACTGCGCCAGATAAGAACCGGCGATCCCCTATGAATAGCAAATTTTTAGACTTTCACGGCCCGGTCGTCGCGACGCGATCATTCTCATTGTCAACTAGTGTTCCCATGACAGTGTCCTTTAACCCTTTCGCTACGGCGGTTCAGTCCGCCGTAGCGCCACTCCTGAACGGAACCACCCGCCGAAATTGTGCACATTGCGCGTGGATAGTGTATTTGGGAAGAAAAGGGATTTTTCTTTAAAACAATATAGTTATAATTTCTGCATAAGGTATAAAGTTATTTAATAGGTAAAAAAAGTTTCATTAACAATGGAAAAAGTGAAGAAATAATATATAATATACAGTAATAAAATAAAACATAATATTCGTAATACAAAACATAATACATAATAATTAGTCCTAAAGTTAGTACTTTCGATTTTCTATCCCTTTATGACATGTAACACAATAATAATGGGAAATGCAGGTAGAACAAATATAACTTGAATGGTGTGTCGTTTATTTCGGACTGTCGTTTGTTTGTTTCGTCAAAAGATTCACGCAATAGTAACAAGAGGCGATTTTACCAGCATGTCGGATATATCCGGCGTTCGGCTCCGCGAGTGTTCATATGGATGACGGATATAACCGTCGTTCGGAGCGAAAGGGTTAACCATTTGCACTCGAAGCGACTTTAACTCGAAATCTGAGATAGTTTCTTCGTTCTATAGTATTTCCATTTCGCATAACTTACCGCATTTTATGCATACGACATTGAATTTTGTGACTCGAGCAACACATGCGCTTCGTAATGTTTTTTAAATGTAAATAAATTCGACGATGTTAAAATTATTTTGAAACATATAACATATTTGTTTATATATGAATTAATATAACGATATAACAATTTTTAATATCGCCTCGGAGTCGCCACTCGAGTGCAAAGGGTTAACATTTGAACGGCGGGGCTCGACACCGTTTGGACCATGAGTAAAAATATTGTTACTTCATCAATTAGTTGCAGAAAAATTCATTTAAATTTTCACACGTTTGATTAGAGTGTCCCAAAAATGTCTCGCAATCCGGTAATGGCGAATTCCTCGGATCATTTGAAGCAGTTTCTTCCTTTACAAAAATTTTCCCCGAGGCACCGTTAACGAGTTATTAACGAAAAACGGTGACCAATAAGAATCGAGTGCGGCTGACGCGAGGCGGCCCAGCCAACCAGCGCGCGAAGCCCGGTTCCGCTCATTGGCTCGGTCCCCTCGCGCCGGCTGAGCTCGCCTCTCATTGGTCACTGTTTTTCGTTAATAACTCGTTAACGGTGCCTCGGAGAAAATTTTTGTAAAGGAAAAAGTTGCTTCGAATGACCTGAGAAACCCGCCACTTTTACACCCTGTATAATATGAATTAAATATAATACAATACAATACAATACAGTACAATATAATACAATACAATACAATACAGTACAATACAATATAATACAATACAATACAATACAATACAGTATAGTATAATACAATACAATACAATATGATATAAAAATCAAATTAAAATTAAAATAAAAATTAAACAAAATTAAATGTAATTAAATTAAATTAAGATGTACAGAAAAACTTAACTAGGATCATCCTAAAAAATATGTTGAAGAAATTCATAAATAAAATAATCAAAATTATCCAATAGCAGAGTTATTTTGTCATAAAAAAATCCACCGTTCCGCGCCTAACGTGCGTTCGAAACGAAACTACGATCGATCGATCTTTACGCATTCGTAGCGATTGCGAAGACGTTAACGACTCTACTCCGGTTTGCCCATAAAGAAGCGTTTGCTCGGCGAGCGGAGTTTGTTCCGGAAAACAATCCATGAGAACGGGAGTGCGAGCAAATATCCGCGTTACGTTTATGGGAATGGGTGCGTTAACGCGAAATGTGATTGTGTGTCCACAGGATGCCAGCGAAATATCCCGAGAAGCGCCAGAGCCAGCAGAAACGAAGCAGCATTGGAATTCGAATGTCCGGAAGAGTTTGGATACTATCCTCATCCACGCGACTGCACGCAGTACTATGTCTGCGTGTTCGGCGGTGCTCTGCTCGAGTCCTGCACGGGCGGATTGATGTACAGGTCAGTACTTTCGAAAGCTGTATGTATTACGAGAATTACGGAAGCCGAGAGGCTGTTAAACGACAATGCTCAAGGACAAATTTTAGGAGACCCTCGTCGAAAGTCCTTGCCTGCAAGCGTAACATTGTGCAGGACAACCCGAAAATTATGACTGCGCCTCGGCCACGCTTCGTTCGCGTGTAGGTGTTCATATTTTATCCCAATTCTCGTTGTAAAAAAATTATGGTACCTTTACTCGAGTATACGGGGTGCCCAAGTAGTCTCGGAACACCCAAGTAGAACAAAAATAACCTGTTTGTCCCCCGCGAACAAGCTTTTATAATCGGCTACAAGGGCTATCACGATTTCAACGTTAATTATTAACTTCTTTTATTTATCATTAACGTCCTTGGAGCTGAAGAGCCGCGTGTCAGGCGTCGCGGAATAAAGAGCTAATTTGTCGGTCGACGAACGAGCGGGGTATTTAAACGTGGCGTAATTTACTATCTCGTAGAAAGTCTCGGGACTCGTTTTCAAGCACACCGCAAGAAGATAGAGATCTCTTCTGGGACACGAACGGTCCTCGCAAAGTACCGTGGTTCGACCGTTCTCCGCGGATAAGTGGATAATCGATCGAGAAGACAAAACGACCGGGCGGACGGGCTTCACGGTGTGCTCTCGCGCCGATACGTGGAAACGGTTCAGGAACGGCCGACTAATATGGGCAGGAATTAGCAACGGATTGAAACGCGACTCGATACCACGCTGCTTTGAATCGAAAGCGAGACGCAACCGAGGCATTGTCGTCCAGATATAGGCTGCTTCGGCGAGGTTTTAATGGATGGGTTCTCCCCGATTCCCAGGGCCCCCTTGTTGCGAGACATCGCGGAGGTTTCTATTTCTTGCGCTCCTCCGGGCCCGCAATGAATTTCATCCGGAACCATTGGATTCGCAAACCTGATTCCCGGTAATTATTGGGTTGGCAACTAAGTAATTGCCGATTTGTTCAATGAAATAAAAAATTTTTTTTTACTTGGAACGAAGTTTAATCTGTAATGTATTTTCCATTTTGTTCGATGACCTTTCGCCATCTCTCTGACAACTTGAAAATTCCACGCTCGTTGAAAGTCTGATCGTTTTCGGCCAAAAACTGAGTTAAGTGAGATTTTACAGCGTCATCGTCATTCAAAGTTTTACCACGAAGGGAGTTGTCCAGGGATCGAAATAAGTGGTAATCCTATGGCGCGAGATCAGGGCTATATGGTGGATGTAACACCAATTCCCAACCAATATCCATGAATTTTTGCCGAATGGACAAAAACGTGTGCGGCCTAGCATTGTCCTGCTAGAAAATGACACCTTTACGATCGACCAATTCTGGTCGCTTTTCCTTGACCGCTGCATTCAATTTGTCCAGTTGCTAACATTCACGGATTAGAAAAAATAACATAATAATAATAATATCATAGAAATGGGAGTGAGAGACATCTATAACTGAAATCGGCAATTACTTAGTTGCCAACCCAATACATCCCCGACAGTACATTGATCGCTCACGCGAGTCCACGAGGTTCCAGGCGTCGATTATTTTTCTTTTTTATTCCTTTTCGTTTATTTAATACCCGCGGGTCAAGGCCTTTCGTTACAAGGCTAAAGAAAATAAGTTCGTAGTGCATGAATAAACAGTTTAACGCTGAACCTACCACAGCGGTCAAAATAACCGGTTTCATATTTTTCATTTTAAAATCGTTGAAATTATGGAGACTTTCTCGCTGGAATTGGTTGAATAAATTTCTTCATTGGAGCAGGCGTTGTAATAAAAATGGCACAGGGTCTAGGTAAATTCAGTGTTATCGTTCTTATAAAGCAGCACGCGTCAGTCATTTTTAGTGTTCGGTTGCTTTAGTGCTAAAGCCGAAAAGTAAGTTACAAAAGAAATCCAAAGAATAAGAACAACGGTTAGCATTTTTACATGTAAGATTTGAGCAATTATGTTCGCCAAATGTAGTCCCACAAGTCCGAAGAACAAGAGGATGGTTTGTTTCCAAGGCGACGCAAAGGAGTACGAAAATTTAGCAATCGTAGTACTTCAGAATATGTGATCAGCTAATTAATGATCTTGTATATTAGGTCATTAAGTATGAAATGCATACTTCACTCTATAAATTTTACTATAAAATCTAGGCGTTTGATACTTGATCACCTAACGCAAGCAAGAGGTCTGTTCTTGTTGTTCGACGTTGACCGATAATACAGGGTGTCCCAAAAATGTCTCGCCATCCGAAAGTGGCGGGTTCCTCAGGTCATTCGAAGCAACTTTTTCCTTTACAAAAATTTTCTCCGAGGCACCGTTAACGAGTTATTAACGAAAAACAGTGACCAATGAGAGGCGAGCTCGGCTGGCGCGAGGCGACCGAGCCAATGAGCCGAACTGGGCTTCGTGCGCTGGTTGGCTGGGCCGCCTCGCGTCAGCCGTACTCGATTCTTATTGGTCACTGTTTTTCGTTGATAACTCGTTAACGGTGCCTCGGAGAAAATTTTTGTAACGGAAGAAACTGCTTCAAATGATCCGAGGAACCCGCCATTTCCCGCACATCGGTGTGCTCGTATAATATGAAGCCGTCCTGAGAAATCTACGTTGCACGCTCTCGATTAATTAAATGCGATTTGGGCGACCATACGACGGATCAACACGTTCTATAATAATGACAATAATAATCAACAGGAGCAAGTGCCTGTGTTACGATAATATGACATCAAGTCGCATAAATAGTAATTTAACAGAAATAAAGAAAAAAAGAGAAAGATGCAATAAAAGATACAAAAAAAGAAAAAGATAAGTTAGTGATTTAAAGTCCAGTAAACCAAAGATCTGTGGAGAGTCAGAAAAGCGTCAATGGAAAAATGTTTAGAGCTCCGACGAATAAATGATTATTTGTTGCCCGTAGCTTCGACTCGACGTTGTGTTCGCTGTCGCGTTAAAATTCAAATTCGCCTGCGGGCTCTCAGTTTTCTGGAATTCCCGGGCCCAAACGATCGGAGAAACCTGTTCGAACGACCGAATCTTCGTGGGCGAACACGGGCGGAAAGATCGTCGAAAGTGGGAATAATGAATTCGCGGGTCACGCGAGTCGACGATCGGGAAACGATTTACGCGAGCGTGGATGTAGAGGGTTCAACGTCCGACGTCGGGACACGGTTTAGCGATTAACGATCGCTCGATACTATCTAGGAACGCCGTCTCGGCGACGAATTCCTGCCGTAAGTTACGACCTCGTCGAGCGGATCGAGCGGATTCGGGAACGATACGGGTACCCGGTCCCCGATGACGCGTCGCGATTCGTTTCTGTATTAGCCGGTTGGGCCTGGGCTGGCCCGTTCGCGCTGAAAAGAGAGAAGGAGACCGCTAGAAGAACGGAAAATATCGGCGGATCTTGTCCGAGCGGTGAACGGAGGGCGTTATTACGATCCTGGCGCGCTTTCGATCTGGACTCGCACGGTAAAAGGGGGTCGTGCACGCATAACCCTCGAGAAAAAATCGGCTGCCACACCTCCTCAGCGACTCGCTGCGACACGCACCGTGCAAACGAGTTCGCTGGAAAACCGGCCCAGCGCGGCGTCGCCTAACCTATCCGATGCTAACGCCGTGCCCAATTAAGGATGCTCGTAAACTCTACTTGTAACTTGATTCCAAATTCAGCCGGTCTTCGTAAAATCCTCGCAGACCCACGGACCGGTACGCAACCGAGTTTTGATCGTCCGCGGCGATCCACGCGCGATCCGCGATCTCTTCACGCGCCGAGATCCTCCAAATCGAGCCACAACGAGATCCGAGCCGCGACCTTTCTTCGATCCTCTCGCAGCTGGTATTTGCAGATTTATGGTTCGTTGCACGGTCCGATCAACCTTGTCGCGCGTCGTCGATTCTCCGAATTTCATTGCACCGATGGATTTATCATATAAAAAGAATACTACTATTCGAAAATTTGGTGAGCAATCTGAGCACGAATTAGGAGGGAATTACTGTATTTGTTATGCGAAATAGAATTAGAACCGAAATCCATGACCGAAACTCAGTACCGAAAAATAACAGTTATAGAACCGATATAGTAACGGTTCTGAAGAACCGAAATCGATATAAGCCAGAATCGATATATAGCTACTTATAAAATTGAGCGTACACCTACGTTGGCAATGATGATCAGCAGAAAAATAAACAAAAACGGACATTTTCAACAGGTAATCCTTGAAAAGAAAATTTAATATAAACTGAATTATTTATCTATATTTAACACTGAACATAAAAATATTCTTATTTCGTCCCCGCAAAATTGAGCCTACAGATATACAAAAATAACAAACTTAAACGTAATTTTAATATTTTGTTGCATACTCGATAAATGATTTTAAACGTCTAGACATCGACTCGACTAGTTTTGGAATATTTTTGGAATATTCTTCTACATTTGGAATATTCTTCCATATTTCCTTAATCTTAACTTTTGCGCTTGACTTACTGCTAAATCTACAATCATTCGATTTTGATTTTAATTCTTTGGAAGGTTGTAAATTTCTAGTAAATCAGCAGGTGTCCCAATATTTTTGGAGAGGAGTGTATTTGCAGTCTCTCAATGTCACAATAATTAAAACAAGTTCAAGATTCTCTGTCAGCCTTAACATAATATTATGTTTCTGTTGTGTATTGTAAAAATTTATCCATGTACATGAATAAATCAAATTAAAGTGAATTAAGATAAATTAAAATAAATTAAAAACCAAAATAACTTAAGTTTAAATAACTTAAATCAAAATAAATTAAATTATTAAAAGACCACGAGCAAAATGATTCCAATACGTTGAAGGAATTTGCCGGTCGGGAATGCGACAGGAAGCGAGAGGCTCGAAGCGCAACCCGGTTAAAAATAGTCGCGAATCGGTTAGACGATTATAATGATCGGTGCCGGGAGAAGTTACGTTTTGCTTTCGTTTCCGCAGCCATGAATTACAGACGTGCGACTGGCCACGTAACGTGGGATGTTCCGGAGGCGGATCCGCGAGCAAGGAAAGCGAGGAGGATCCTCTGTTGGAAAGGTGAGTTTACGACGTGTTTTCGAGCCCGCCGTTTCTGCGGCGCCGATCGACGCTTCTGCGACAGACCTTGGAAAACCGAAGAGAATCGCGCGACAAATCGCCGCGAGTAACTCGATCCGAGCCGTTGTTGGCTCGTTGCCGAGCGCGGTGAAACGAGCCGGATCGATCGCCGGACGTCCGTCGGTTGCGAAACATTTCGGGTTCGATTGCGAAACTGTATCGAGAGGCTGCCCGATGGGAGTTCACCCGCGCTCTCTCGCAGTGTCGAAAGAAAACAGCGGGAGCGAGAGTGGAGGGAAAAAGGAAACGGTGATCGAGATCGAAACGACCGGCCCGATCGGGTTTTTTTTCTTCTCGAGCTGACCCGTTGCGGAGTCCATTCCGGAGCCGCGGGATCGATCAACGATCCTGCTGCACGCGAGGCCACGCCGAGAAAATAGCGCCGATGACGTCAAGAGATCGAACAATGAACGCGGCCCCGATCGCGGACGATTAAACGATTCCGCTACGGCTTGCTCGGGCTAAGCGAGATCTTTCCAAGCTTCGTCTTTGCTTTCCACGCGAGCACTTTCCTTGAGAAATCGGCTCGATCTGCCACCGATCGGCAGCCTTCTCGATCGCGGCGCGGAGACCTCGACGCACCGGAAACCAGAGCTATCCTTAGCCATCTCCGTTATCCGAGAGTGATCATTGAACCGCTCAGTCGTAACATTGAATTCGCGGCGGAGCTAGCCGATTACGAGTCGGCTTTTAACGCAGCTCCGCGCACGGTGCCCGAACGACTTAATTGCTTTCGACGTTTTCGTCGAAAGTCAGTCGAAAGGTTCCCATTGCTCGCCAAAAACGCCGAACGGAAACGCGGCGGATTCGTTGTATAACCGAGCCCGGTCCTCCACAATGAACTCTTTCTCCCTCGCGTGCGCTCTCTTCGGCTAGTTCCTTGAAGAGAGCAAGACCGCTCGGAACCGAGCCGGGAACGAGTCTCCTTGTGCAAGGCGAAGTTGAGCAACGAGCCGCGCGCCGCGCCGGTCGCTCATTAACGTATTGTGCGCGAGTAATCGGGGAAAGAGCCGTTACCTAACGCGCACCGGTTCTAATCGTCTAGACGCGGCCCGGGCCGATGTCCTTGCCGATTGCGGGCAAACTGGTCTTATCGAAAGAAAATCGACCACCCTCCCGCCCCTCGGCCCTATGGTCCCCAATGCCCGCGATCGGTTTCCGGGTTCCGAGGCAACGGAGCAACGATCCGATCCGATCGATCTTGTCGCAACAGATCGGCGAAGATCGAGAGCCTGCAAGAGCAGCAACAGCATCAACAGCACCACCAGCAACAACATCAGCAACAGGTGCCTCCTCCCCGATCCCAGCCGCAGCCGAGACGCGAGCAGCACCATCAGCAACGTCCCGTGCAGAGGCAGCCTCTACCCATCACTACCACCCCTACCCCGATTCCCCAGATCACCGAGAAACAGATCAGACAAAGGCAGCAGGTAAGGAATTACCACGAGGACGAGTACGAACCGGCTTCCGAGATCGAGAGCGACAGGCAACAACGGGTCTACAGGGGGCAACCGTCCACCATCGGACAGGTGCAACGCGACAGGGATGGTCTTCGTAGAAACGTTATCGCCGTAAGTATGATCCCGATGCGAGGAATATCGACCGAATCGGTGTAAACCTGGAAAGAAGGGTTTTTAAACTGTTTATATAATCTGTTGATTCGCTGATTCTCTGTCAGACCAATTATGGTGCGGTTTTGTTCTGTATTGTACGAAGGGGTGTTTATCCGTATATACATATATGAGCCGTCTAATTTGAAAGTGGCATAAGTCACTTTACCGTAATGAAAAGTGGTGATTTTTTAATGTTTATGCGAAATTATTTATATTGAGAAAAATATCAGTATCCTGAGATATAACAAATACAAGTAAATCTTCTCGAAAGTTAGCATCCATATTTTGAAACGTGTTCAAACGCAAACCCTTAAATATATCGACTTAAAAACAAAGTGACTTATGCCACTTTCAAAATAAACGGCTCATATTAGGTCTACCGGGAAGTTCTGTCCGTTTTTGAATCGAAATATATAACACAATTTTCGTACATTCAATAATATTTCTTGTAGAATATACTTTCCATCGTTGCTTATGACTTCTTGCCAGCGCGATGGCAACTTGTAAATGCCATCTTTTAATTTATATTCGATTAATTATTGATACAGTAGGATGTACGAGGATTGCTGTTACGATTGTTATTACGATTGTTATTACTTGGAATAATCAAAAATCGAAATAATAAAGATCGAGGGAAATATATTAGGTCTACCGGAAAGTTCTGTCCGTTTTTCAATCGAAACACAATTTTCATACATTTAATAATATTTATTGTAGAATATACTTTCCATCGTTACCTATGATTTCTTGCCAGCGCGATGGCAACTTGTAAATGCGATTTTTAAAAAATGATTTATTTTTAGAGGCGAAAAACTCGACTAGTGCTTGGTTGACATCAGATTCAGTTTTGAATTTCTTTTTCCTGTAAAAAGTTTTGCAAAGAGAGAAACAAGTGTTAATCGGAGGGTGCTAAGTCTGGGGAGTATGGTGGATGCGACAGAATTTCCCAGCCTAGCTCTGCGATTTTCTGACGAGTCGCCAAAGCAGCATGTGGTCTGGCATTATCATCGGTAGCCATGTTTTCACGATCGCGTCTCGCTTAATAACGACATGAGACATCTTTGTTTCAGTTTATTTAGGAAAGTACATGTGTGTAAATGCAATGATAAAGAGAGATAATCATATATGTCTCGAATCAACATGTGCATATGGATTGAAACTTGAAGCGACGCTATCGGACAGAACTTTCCGGTAGACCTAATATAAATCAATCGGATGAACGCGCTATCTGCGGGTCACTGTTCGATTGAAAAAATCCGCTTTTTAACAGTAGATTTACGGAGCACAAAGTACAGCTGATTTATATTAATTTATGAAAGTAACAATAAGACATTTGTTCTGATTTTTAACAAGTGTTATTGTAATATTTGCCGTAAGTAACATGTAAATTGAGTAAATAACTTATAAATGTATCTTTACGATATGAATAATCGTAAATTAAAAAATTAGTGACCCGCCATTTTGACGGGTTCCATAAATCTAACGTTAAAGAACATTTAATATTTGCAAAACTGACAATAAGATTTTGATAACGAGTGTATAACGAGGATTTTTAGGATTTCACAGAAGGATTCTTTCAAATATACAGGGTGTTCCATAATTCTGCTAACACCCGGAAAGGGGTGATACCTGAGGTCGTTTGAAGTAACTTTTTCCTTAGCGAAAATGCAATCCGCGACTTTGTTTACGAATTAGTAACGAGAAACACTGACCAATCAGAGGCGAAATATGTTGGCGCAAAGCGACCGAGCCAACTAGCGGACGAAGCTAAGTTCCATTCATTCGCTCTGCCGCCTCTCATTGGTCAGTGTTTTTCGTTAATCATTTGTAAACAAAAAGCCACGGATTGCATTTTCGCTAAGAAAAAAGTTACTTCAATTAACCTTAGGAATCACTCCTTTCCAAGTGTTAACATAATTATGGGACACCCTGTATAACGAAATTTAAAAGAATTAAATTTTTTAAAGAGGTATTACAGTAATTTCTCCCATAGATGTTTTTACTCGGAATCGAAACATGCGGATATGTGAATAGCAAGGCTTGATTCGTCAAGCCTCGCGGCTCGCCTTTATAGTTGCCGACACCTCGTGAGAGAGAGAGAGAGAGAGAGAGAGAGAGAGAGAAATAGAGAGAAAGAGGGAGAGAGAGAGAGAGAGAGAGAGAGAGAGAGAGAGAGAGAACTCGGATCGAACGAAACTCAGTACATTTGGAAAGGCAACGGCCAGCATGCCGCTGTACATTACTATGAATGCATTATAATGCTAGGATAAAAACGACGACTTAACTTTTTTATTTCTAATTTTTTATACATGAAACTTGTTTTAATATATTGGTCAGATTTTTCTAATTCAAATGATATGAAACGCGACATGCTTTAGACCATATACGTAGCAAGTAACTTATGTTGTTTCATTACACAAATTGTAATTATAACAAAAAGAGCATTAGAAAAATATTAAAGGCAACGTTAGTGATTAACAACGTTAGTATGTCGTCCAAAAGAAAATATCAGTGGAATTACGCTACTCGCGGGCCTCGATCCGACTGTAATTCTGGAGAGTCAGCGTCGTTTCGATTACAATTCCATGCCATAATGCATCAGAGATTCGGCGGAACGAGTCTACCTTTTTTTTTTTAATTTTAAAGGATCATGGAGTAAGGATGGTCGAACGCCGGCAATGAACGGCCCCGGTTGTTTGGATGGATCGTAGATGTGGCAATACAGGACAGGGACTGGAACCTAAGCTAGGTTATTCTGTGAAGTCAAAAGAGTCCAAGTCAAAACATCTATTTGCATCATATTTATGGCGTCGCAACGGCAACATTCAGAAAGCAATAAAGCTATTACCAAAATAAAAGTCAACTTTTTTATATTAGTTTTTATTAGGTAGTAGATGAAAACCATCCCTGTAGGCCACGATACTATACAACATTCGGAAAGCAGTAAAGCTATTACCAAAGTAAAAGTTGGCTTTTTTCTGTTAGTTTTTATTAGATAGATGATTTATGTAGTAGATAAAAACCATCCCTGTAGGCCACGATATTATACAATTCCAAGGACGATACGCCATTAAAAAAGTCAGTCATTAGGTTGAAACAAAGTAATCGCGGTTTTCATCAATAGATACCGTTGTGTTTGTATTGTCATTCTTTTGTTAAGGTTGTAATACTTTTATCTTCAGATCTGGTAATCGACACGTTTTTAGGTTACTTTAGAAACAAACACCGTGTAGTTTTGTTTTCTGATAGTTTTCTGTCAATTTTAACACGAAGTGCAAAACATTTTCGACACATTTTACTTTTTTATTCTCATAAAGGCAAGACAGCGGCTGAGGCTTTCAAAGAGTTTACAGGACTCTTTTTTTGCTGAAGTTCGACAAATCCAGGAGAAATTACTGTATACATATGTATAAATAAATTCAATTAACACACTATATGCGGGACACAGATCGAGTTTCACTCAAGTCTAACGGGGGAAAATCAATGGATTTTGGAAAAATCCGCCTTTTAAAAAACACTTAATATTTACAAAACTGACAATAAGATTTTGAGTGTATAACGAGGTTTTTTAAGATTTAACAGATGGATTCTTTCAAATGTATAACGAAATTTAAAAAAGTTAAATTTTCTAAAAAGGTATTAATACCTCTCCGGCGCATATAGTGTTTTAAATTTAATTAAATAAAATAAAATAAAATGTAATGAAATGAAATAAAATGAAATAAAATGAAATAAAATGAAATTAAATAAAATTAAATAAAAATAAATAAAATAGAATTAAATGAAATTAAATAAAATGAAATTAAAGTCTGCTCAGGAATTAGCCTGAACTCCGATATCGTTCCTGGCTGAATTACGGCATATCTTAAATTAATCTGTCGTTCACTGTTCCACAGGAGCGGGAGAAGGAGAGCACGCGGGCTCAAACGGAAGCCCACTACAGGTGCGTAAAGTCTGCTCAAAAAAACGGTTTGGTAGTTTTTTCGTCGATTTCTCTTTCGTGGACCCGTTTAATTCGCCCGATGATTGTCTCGCGCTCGCGTAACGTCGATCTGAGGTTTCTTTTTGTGCCACGGACACGGCTATGCAACGATGTAGAGCACGGTTTCCGTGTTCCACGTTGATCGCTTTTGTCAATCGATCTTTAGAGAGCCGAGAGACGAGAGACAGCGCGGATTAAGAATCGTTTGACATTGCAGGACGCAGGTGCCATCCTCGGAATCGCCGAGAGTCGCCAAAATCCTCGCGTCCACCGTATCGTCCGTAATTCCAAAGACGTACTACGACCCGGACCAGAGTTACCCATACTATACGATCTACGACGATGACGTGTCCATTTATAAGGACGATGGTGAGTGTCGATAGAACACGATGATCACGCTATTTCTCCATACTAAAAAATTCTCCATTACTTAGAAACATAGAACAACTTATGGATATCATACTGGGCTCAATTGCGTTTTCGCAATTGTCGCAATTGTCCCAAAAATGTCCCGCAATCCGAAAGTGGCGGGTTCCTCAGATCATTTGAAGCAATTTCTTCCTTTACAAAAATTGTCTCCGAGGCACCGTTAACGAGTTATTAACGAAAAACAGTGACCAATGAGAGGCGAGCTCGGCTGGCGCGAGGCGACCGAGCCAATGAGCGGAACTGGGCTTCGTGCGCTGGTTGGCTGGGCCGCCTCGCGTCAGCCGTACTCGATTCTTATTGGTCACTGTTTTTCGTCAATAACTCGTTAACGGTGCCTCGGAGAAAATTTTTGTAAAGGAAGAAGTTGCTTCAAATGATCCGAGGAACC